TTTATGATTTTCTTTCTTCTGCTGAACAAAAAATAAGATATTTTGGGGGTTGATTAAATTCACAAAGTGAATTTTCACTTTGTAATTCATCTTCCTTAATATCGTAGCTCTAATATCTCATTAGCTTTGCAAATATGCTGAATCACAGTCTGTCAACTTTTGGAACTTTTGAGTGGCTTTCTGTAGCTCAAATAGTAGAGCTTGCACCACTAAGGTCATGGGTTTGATGCCCAGAAAGAGCAAGAACTGATAAAATGTGTACCTTAAATGCAATTAAAGTCTCTTGGGATCAAATGCATAAATCAGTGGTTATGGCTTAAATTTGTTATTGTTCTTCACACAAAAATATTGTATGGCTTAGAATATAGCGCATTAGTCAAATGGACAACTTATGTGATACTTTATATTGCTTTTCTGGAGCTTGGCAGTATAAATCAATCTTTATTTGCAAGAAAAATGTTATTGCACAATCACAAAAGAAAGATCATTTTGAGTGAAAATTTTGAATTTGGGTGAATTATTTATTTTATGCTTCTCATTCTCATCTATGTTCTGCGGATTCAGATTAATTGAATGGTATTTACCATTAAGAAGTCTTTCGGGGGGATGTTCTTAGCCTGATAGTTTAATAACAAGACTTTGGGGTCTTGAACTCAGACCCTCTCCGTTGTTCTCCCTCAAGAGGGTCTGAATGATTGAGCATGTGATAAACTTCAAACATATGCTAGTATCCAACGAACCCAAACAGTGGAAAATATTGCCATGAGGGAGGGCAGCAAATCCATAAGCTGTCAGTTTATATTGGTAGTCACCAAGAGCTGGTATGGTTGAGGTTTCCAACAATAACCACTGCGACCGTGTCGGAGAGAAAGCTCTAATTTTGAAGGAGGCAGCAGAAAGCTCCCGAAGACCAACCTCAGAGGTACGTATGGGGGGGGAAATAGTTCACTTTTTTTCCACTGCATCGTTTTGTGTTACCTGTGTGCTCCATAAATCCAACACATGTTCCTGTTCCTGGAATCCTGAGTGTCTTTCCATCCTCACACTCCCCTCCCTGCGCTGCAGAGTTTGTGGCAGGGGCAGGTGCCCCTCCCTTGGGCAGTCAGCTCAGGAAAGTCTCCTGCTGGGCAGACGAGACTAGGCCGAAGTTTAGGCCAAGCTCCTGCTGAGAGAGAATAAGAGGCTCCCTTTCTCTAAGACACACATACACAGACCCAAATTCAAAATTCCCATCTGTTTTTTCTCTCTCTCTTTTTCTTTGTATGCCTGTCGCTCTTCCTTGCCCGTTTTTCTCCCTTTATGAGCAGTGAAAGAATATACAAACGCTTCAACGTGTAGAAAATGTATGACTGTCATTACATTAGATTGCAAAATATGAAATTAAGTGGAAGGAGGTAGCACAAATGATGAGACTGTGTTCATGACTTTGCAAATCTTTTGAATGAGTGCTTGATTCAAACTGACCAAGTCATATGATTTCAGGGAACTATAGGCTTTGTTCTGGTCCTGATCTTAAGTGAACCCATGAATGAAGCAGTATAAAATGTTTATTAAGTTTTATAATTAAATAAAAGTTGTATTTTTGCTGCAATCTCAGTGTGGTTATTTTATCCAGCAGATGTCCCTAGAGTGCGGATTTTTACTGAGCTTCGCAAAAAAACATTTTTAAACGGCATTGGTTCAGTTGATTCAGTTGTTTAAAGCCTCACTTTAAAAAATATGATCAATATGACATGGTTTTACATTGCTTTAATTCATCAAAATAAGTTACGCAATTATCAACATTTTTATAAGTTATAAAATTCAACTTATTTTTCAACAGTCAGTTTAATGTAATTTAAGTTGAAATGACTTAGACATCCAAGTTGATTGTACTTCATTTAAGGCAGCAACTTTTTTTTTTTTTTTACAGTTTATCACTTCTCTTATCCATATGCACAAACATTTGTTTAGTTAAACATTTAACAAAAAAGAAAAATGTTAATAGAATCCATACCAATTTGATAGGGATGCACGATATATCGGCCACATTATCGGTATCAGCCGATATCGGACCAACAAGAACATTTAGCCGATATCTAAAAGCCGATAAATGTATTATTTCCTTCAGCTTAGATGCGCACTGTTCAACATGATGCTTTTAAGTTGCTTGAAATACGATTGAAAAACTAAAATCCAGTTTAAGTGCAAAATGTGCAGTGGAAGTCTGTCATATCGGCAATACACAACATTAAAATAAGAACATCATAATTGTGTTTGTATCTTGGATTTTAAGGAGGAGACTTTTTTGATAATCAGGCTCTCAAAAATTGTCTAAAAACGTGGATTTCGATTTATCGGCCAATATATCGGTTATCGGCTTTCAAACACAAATAATTATCGGTTATCGTATCGGCCAAAATTGTCATATCGGTGCATCCCAACAATTTGACAAATGTAAAAGAAACTGCTATGAGATTGTGTTGGTCGAAATACTTTCGGGTCCCCTCCTCATCGTGACAAATAACAACAACAACAACAAAATCAGTTTTTGTAATGTTTATTTGAAACTCTTTACAAAGAAAAAAAAATCCCCACAGACTTGCTAAAGGGTGCTGATCGCCGCCTTTTATACCGTAACTTACGTTCACACACATTCACCAGAATGTTTATGTCAGCATGTTGCAAATCTTGCAGATGTGTGACTGAAAACCTTTCGAACACTGCCAGCAAACAGAAGATGGCCAGCAGTACAAGCGTCTCTTTGTAGACCGAGGGGCTCTGCTGCCATAAAGCACCTTCTCCTGCCTCAATCCCTGTCTTCACACATCCATGTCAGCCGCCAAGATCAGGCGAGACCCTGGTTTGCGTGCTTTGGAGGCCGGAGGTTACATAAATGAACATCAGAGCCACTGTTCACAGTAACACACTGATTCTGACCAGTAGGCAAAACTGTAAAAATGCCATGTCTGCACCTCTCACAAACCTCAGCAAATCTCTCCTAACATACAGTGACTACTAGTGAAAATGCATCTATTTTGCATTCTTCTAATTTAAACAACGGTTTTTAATACAAATCAACATAACATGATATGAGTAAAGGGGGGGGGGGGGGGGGGGTCGGGGGGAACAGTAGCCTACATGAAAATCCTCCCTGAGGATAGTGGACCTGAGCAAGCACCTTTTTGTGCAAATGAAGTCACATGATTAATATGATCATGTTTAATTACTAAGAATTTCATGCCAAACTTTGTTATACATTTCTTAACGTTTGTAAACAAAAAAGTTTAAAGAAAATCAGTTCCAGAATGTATTATATGCAAATAATACAGAGGTTTTGTAGAGATCTTGCACCTCCTTGTGGTCGTATACGGCTAATAGCACCTGAAAATCTGTCATTTCAGCCTTCCATAGCCCCTCTAAATTGATTTCACTACGAAATTAAGAATATTCAGAATATTCTAGTTACCATATCTGTATTCTAGAATAGGTCCTTGTGTCAATGAGTTAAAAAAAAAACAACCGAAGTCACATCTTTTATTCTTACTAGTTTCACATTTAGTTGGAGGTGCAGATAGGAAAGATTCTTCAAAAGAACCATTCCATTAAGAATTGTCAAGCAACATCTTTAAGGTTTATTATCAGCTGAAAAGTGGAAAAACAGCCAGAAAACATTCACTGGAAATCAAAGCCATTTCAAAGGTGGTACAGTTCTCCTAGACCTAGAAAGAACCGATTACTCATGTTCAAACATTTGCCCATTCTTTATAGCACCTAAATTTAAGTTATGAACTTATTACTTAAGTTCTATTTCTCCCAAAATGCACAATTCCCCAAAGCTATTTCCTGAAATAATAAATTGTGCAAACAAAATGGTTAAAAACACTACTTAAAGGAGTAGTTCACTTTAAAAAACACATTTGCTGATAATTTAGTCACCCCCATGTCATCCAAGATATCCATGTCATTCTTTCTTCAGTCGAAAAGAAATGAAGGTTTTTGATGAAAACATTCCAGGATTTTTCTCCATATAATGGACTTCAATGGGAACCAAACGGTTCAAGGTCCAAAAGACAGTTTCAGTGTAAACTGTTCAAAGGGCTTTAAACAATTTCAGACGATGGATAAGGGTCTTATCAAGCGAAATGACCGCTCATTTAAAAAAAAAAAAAAAAAAAGTTTTATAAGCTCAAATGGTCGCCTTGCTCTATTCTGTTGCGTTCCGTTCGTCACTCTCTCTCCTGTTCGAACTCGTTTATCAAATTGAACAAATCTTTTTTTCGTGTCATTTGGTTTATTCAACGAACGAAATCAAAAAAGCAAAAGTTTTTTATTTAAAAAATGAACTACTCCTTTAAATTAACAACATTGCCTTCTAGTTGTTTTAAATTATTATTATAAGATATAATATTTTTGTATAACATGTAGCCCTATATATACATTACTGTGAAAACGTAAACATTAGTAATTTTACCAAAATAACTAGAACAAAGGTTAAGCCAGTTATTTATATCTTTTGCTGTAGTGTCCATCTGAAATATAATTTCCAATTATTCCTTTTGCCATTAATTGTAATAATCCATTGAGATTTTTGTATGCACGAGGAGTCTGACAGCAGCCGGTGCTCCACAGAGATCTGAACTCACCATCTTCAAGTCTGCCTGCGATTACATGAAGAAACAGACTCAATCCAGAAGAACTGCGGCAACATCTCCAAGATGCTTGAGGAAACCTTCCTGCAAAGCTACTGAGCTGTGAAAACTTTTAGGCATTCTGTTGTCAGACTCCTTGTGCATGTGCATACAAAAACTGATTATTACAATTTGGATTATTACAATTAATGACCAAAATAATTTTTGTTCTAAATTTACAGTATTAACAGTAAATTTACAATTACACTATTTACAGTTATATAGATATGAACAACTGGCTTAAAACCTATTTTGAGTGTGAAAATACTAATGTGCATAAGACTTTTGCATTGTGCTGTACATAAATAAAAAACGACAATGAGCAAAGGCTGAGAAACCATGTGCAAAGTTTAATTAATTTACCGCATGATCAATGATTTCTCCTCCAAAAAATAAAAAAATCTAGACAGCAATAATCAGCAATAGAATGCAAGAACTTTTAAATCAAATGTACAGTACTTTGTATATAAAATTAAAACATTTTATGTTACATGTGGACATGTCAGCATCACACGCAGTGAGGGCACAGCCCTGCACTCAAGAAGTGTTCTTGTTTACACGTCGCTTCGGTGCAGAAGGATTGTTTCCAGAGTCCTTGAGAGTCCATTTGTGGGGTTTTTTGTGCGTGTCAATGTTTTTTAGCTTTTGTCTCAGGTGTCTTGAAATGTGATTCCTTGAATGTCGTGTGAGATGACCGACTGGACGACTTGTTCGGTTTAAAAACTTCAGGAAGGCCAATACATCCAGTAAGTAGTGTCTGACATTCATGTTACCATTCTGAAGGGTCACCACCCACCTTAAAATAAGGTTTGACAAGTTTAACATTTTAAATGACCATTTCATTTATTTATTTTTTTTTTTTACCTTTTCCTGTTTTTAGAAATTGAACATTAGAGAAAATACTATTGAGATAAGATTATAATTAAATATGGCAAGTGAAAGGTTAAAGGGATAGTTCGCTTTGAAATTAATTTTTGGTACGTTTTAGCTTACCTCAAGGGCATCCAAGATGCAGGTGTCTTTGCTTCCACAGTATTTTCTATTTTGATATTTTTAGGTCGAACCGTTCGTGTCTATCAGTCATATAATGGAGGTCTATGGGGTCCACGTCAAAGAGCATGCACAGAGAAGTCCAAATTAAACATGATTTAATGACTCGTAAATGTAAGTACACATTGATGGCCTAAGACACGAAACGAGCAGTTTGTGGGAGAAAATGAACAGTATTTATATTGTTTTACCTCTTGTAACCAGTAACCACAGCCACGTCCAAGTGATCTGAAAGTGCGGATGCTTTTGGTCTGCGCAAGCGTCGGAAAGCATCTCTCGCGCGGTCTCAGGGGAAGAGGAAAAAAATAAAAAATAAATCAACGTTGTCTGTTGATGTATCGAAAGTCTTCCATTGTGGTTTCCTGTATATCTAAATATGTTTAGATCTTCATAGTGAAAGGTAAAACTTCCAAAATCTCTGTGTAAACAATGAGTGACGTACATGCACGAGATATCACTTCCGGCACTTGCGCAGACCAAAGGGTCCACGCCCTCAGTTCACAGATCACACGTAAAACTATATAAATACTGTTTGTTTTCTCACACAAACCGCTCGTTTCGTGTCTTAGGCCATTAATGTGTACTTACATTTACAAGTCATTAAATCATGTTTAATTTGGACTAGGGCTGCACGATTAATCGAAAAAAAATCACGATCTCGATTCAAACATAAACGCGATCTCATTTCTTAATGATGGCGATTCACATCCGTGTATTTCCCTGCATTCAGATCATGCTGAATTCACGCGTTATATTGGTCACACTCACACAAAAACAAAACAATAATTGACAAATCAATCATGCGGACGTTTCATCAGGGAATGTCTAAATTAAAGTTGTTGCACGTGAGCAGCGCATATTTTTTTGGGGCTTGCATGTTAATCAAAGTATTCACCGGGAGCAGTGGCAGCGCGTGAGCAGCAGTGAAACGCGCGCTCAATTAAAGTGGAAGCACACTTTTGAGGGACAAAATTAATATGATTTCACTCAAAAAGTAGTTTCACACAATGTCTAGTAAGTTTTAACAAGAACTGAAGTACCTTAAAACTTATACAAAAATAATAGCCGAGTCCCATAGACGCCTGTATCTTTTACACGCCTGTGTGGCTGCAGGTTTGGGTAAATAAGACCCCATTTACACCTGGTATTAAAATGCGATCTGTATTCAGATAAGTTATCCGGATAATAAGTACCGATTCCATTAACACCTGGCCTCATAAATGTGTTTTTGCAAAACGGATATAAATCCGATCTTAAACTCCCGCGTATGCAGATTTAATGGATTGCACGCCACCAAAAGCAACAGATTTGAGCTGCATTTCGTTGATCATCAGCTAATTTCCAAATCAAAGACATCAATAAAAGAGTGGCAACAGCGCTGGTAAGATAATTTCGTTTCTTTACTTGAAGATGATTGTGTGTTAAGCGTCTGTGACTTACTTTCACTTTTATTTGCGATGTTTGCACGTTGGCTCGATGAATAGACGCTCAGCTGCTCAGCTGCTCATCTGCGGTGATGGGTGATGCGTGTCGCAGTAGCGCCGTCATATCTGACAATAACATGACATATAGCCTATATAACAAGCTTACTCGTTTATTTTTTGCCTTTTTGGGAGGAGTAAAATATACATATGTGGTTTCAACAACCAGATTACACCTAGTAAAGATCCGGACACAATGCGAGCCAGACTACCTCCAGATGTGGTCAGGCAGATCCGATCGCGATCCGATCACAACGCATTTACACCTTGCATTAACATGCGTTTTTATTATCCGGATAACTTATCTGGATACAGATCGCATTTTAATACCAGGT